ATGTTTCACTTTACTGAGGTTAAAAAAAATCACAACTACACATAAAGACCAGTGATTCATGAAAAGGATAATGGATGGCTCGGCCTTTGATGAAAATTCAGCTGTAGCATATCTTCTACCTTACTATGATTGGAAAGCAGTCATGTTTGCATTTTAACAACCTTTCACTCATGAGTTATTGATCTGTGATGTTCACATTTGAAGCCAGTGCAARACCCATGGATGCTTCAAAAAGAAAACGCTGGGCAATCGAGCCACCATCCTATACAGTACTTTATCCTGAGACATAACAATCTGTGTTGCTACACACGACATGGAATGTAAAATCACATTCATTATGTCCAAGACTAAATACTTTTATAAACAATTGGATGTTGCACACTAGAGTGAGTGTGTCACTTCAAGGCTACTGTAGGAACATGTTGGGAGAACAAAAGCAAAGCAGCAAGGAGGGAAATCCTAATTATGATTATACTGCATTTCTGYCAAAATGTTGCTTTGCACAATSAGTRATACACTCACKTTAACATCAGCTTATATAACAAGAWATTGTGCATTTTCTCAAAATGTTCTGTTTTTTGGATAGTTTTGAAAGCAATCATGTGGGTAAGGACAGTTAAAGCTGACCATCTAACTGCTAATGGATAATCATGTTTATTCTTATTCTTAATTTATTTGCATTATACTAATGTTAAGTAGATCCTTTWGACACCAAAGTTTTACTAATGAGGACTTTCTACAGACTTTGCCAGTTCAAATAAAAAAAACATTGTTCTGCACAAAATACTGTACACAGATCACCTAAGGCTTCAACATAAACAATTTAAAGTGAGGAGGCTACTGGGAAAAGTTAAATCCTTAAAGCAAAACAGAAAAAATATTACAAACAGTAGAGTATATAAAGCATTTATTGTGAGGATGCACTGCAAGACCTTGCTATKTATGCCTCAGAGCACAAAGCTTGCATTTTTTAAATATACCATATAATCAGTTAATTTTTTTATTTAAACATTACAATAAAGTTTAGTTTTTGACTAGTTTGTAATTAATACATGACTATCAGAGTTAAATGTGGACTTGACTTTTGTAAAACTGCCAACAGAAAACCTGTAAATCAGTGCAAAATATAAAATATATTTTATTTAAATTAAACTTAACTTTAAGRTTTGCAGAACAGCATCCAATTCTTAAGTCACGCAAGGAAAACAAMTGATGCAACATTTGAAATATAATATTTAGCCTAGTATTTTCAAGGTACATTAGGACATAAAGCTTATTCAATAAGAGAACACTACACGTTTGTGTGAAATATTCTACAGTTGGTTCACCTCACATCAGAAGTTTAAGTGTGGACCAAAATACCCCATTTTCTGCACCTCCCACATACATGCACACACAAACGTAGAAAATCAATAAGTCTTTCAGCAAGCTGATGTTGTGGCTTGAATGTGAATAAACAGTCATACATTTTAGCAAAGGATCGATTGGGGTAGACAGATGAATGGCGCACAAAGACACCTCTGAGYGGGACAGAAAGACCGGTGTGTGTCTGTGCATGTGTGTGACAAAGTGAGCGAGTTCTCAATCTTTCTGTCTTTTACTGTTGCTCGGTGACTCCCCACCCCCCTGCGTCTAACTGCTCTTTCACTCAAAGGATCAATAGGAGTGATGGATTAGTGGCAGGTACCACRCACTAAAGACACATGCTATCAAACAACAACACTTCCTATTCAGACACATTTCAATCACGCTGCCAGTCAAAACGTGTTTTTTCACACTGYTAAGGCCAACTGCTTCACACTCCTGTTGAGTTTTACCTCTCAACAGTTACACACACATTTGTACCTAGCTCAAAGGTTGAAGACCTGACAGTTGAGGGTGTTCTGTGATGTGTGTCTATCAAAYGACAGCATGGACTGTTTAGACACTGACTAATATTAATGCAACATATTGGATGTTCATTACTGAGGTTCGGTTGCTGAAAGTCTAGAGGTAAAACCCAAATGTTGCAGGCGCTTCCAAATATGCAGAACACACTTGAGGCTCTTTCTCAAGACYGAGACTGAGATGTGTTCTGGCTGTCTACGTGTGTCTTCTGACTGGATCAAGTCGACAAGGGGGATAAAAGTCAGTCTGTCCCTGATGGCTTCTGTGTTGCTGAGTGACAAGTATCAGCTCGGCAGTTAAAAAGTCAGATGCCCCTCCTCAATTTGATTTCARCACTGAAAAAGTTGGTTAACTATGATGTCCCCATAATGCTCATATCCTTATGAATCTCTGAACAAACCTTACTCTTGATGCTCTGCTGCCATAAAACTGTTCATCTRCCTTGGTAACATATCTGCCTCTGGACTCTTCAGGCTCTTGCCTTTTATCAGTGGCCATGGAAGCCAGATTGACACACAAGGGTTAGRGTTTTTTCAGCTGTCAAACTATGTTCCATAACTTCCTTGAGACAAACTAAAATGTCTCTAAATCTGCTTCTCCACAAAAGTTTTTGCTTTCAGATTTTGACACCAGCCCTTTCAGCTACTACAAAATTGCTCTATTTTGCCTAACAACACAATTTTAAAAATGGTTTGAAGTCTCTATTATTGACTCAAATTGAAAGTCTCAGAGAAGGCGTACCTTTCTGGTTAGAGCAATTTAAATGGACCATGTGATGTGGCAGCAGAGGTTTTCAGGTAAATGATTGGAACCAATTTTAATCTAATAAACCACTATTCAACAATTAACCATAAGTCGATTGTTTGCATGCGTAATATTGTGCAAACCAAACAATGAAATCTTAGAACCCATAGTTAGGCTCTACAACAGGGCATACAAAATTCATAAAAAACTTCCTGGTTGGACTCATC